AGGCTCGACGGGTCCTCAGCACACCCCATCCTGCAAGGCGGCTCGCACGGTCAGGCACGGGGATCTGCCTTCTCACCGTCTTCAGGACTGGAGAGGGCGAATCGGCCAGAATTTTCAAGCCTTGCTGTCTTTGGGTCTAAGATTTACGAATTATCGGTTGTTAAACGTGGCGGTCTGGCCTTCCCTCCCCTTCTGGTAAGTTCAGGCACAAGACGGAGGTGAAACAAACGTTGGTAGGGATGGATTTGAGTCCCCACTCTCCTGAACCTGGTGTGCCAGGTGAGGCCTTACAAAGCAAGTTCCCTCATCGCTCAAGTTTTAAAACAACTTTTTTTTTTTAATTCAGCATTTAAATTCTCATGGAGAAAATAATTTGCTATGGGAGGAAGCGTCTCATGAAAGAGCTGTCACCGACCTGTCCCAGGTACTTTCTAAAGCTGAGTTTATTGTGAGTGCCACAGTTGTGTATGTGGGGGTCTGTCCCTCCAGGGCCCAACTCAGGTAGTCAAGCTCAGGGGAAGATAGATGCCTCTACCTGCTGAGCCACCTTGATGGCCTAGCCCAGGCAATATTTCTTAAATATGATTGTAATGTATGTTTTAAGAAACACTTCTCAAAGGCGTCTTGCGTGAAAAATTAGTTTCAATAACAAATTTGAAGTCCGGGACTGTAGGTAGTCTGCAGGGGCCTCTGGGTTGGACCCCGGCATCACATGAATATGGGGCCCACTTAAAAGGGAGTTAGTGAAGGAAGGGTCATCAAAAGTTTGAGATTATCCTGTAAACACGGACAGTGGAGGTCTGGGACACATGAAGCCCGCTGTTGTGATAATAGGTATGGGCTGTGGGGCCAAAGGCTGCTGTATGCTGGGCATGACACCCAGCGCTTCCTGTATGGGAAGCTAGTCACCTGCCACCTGAGGCATTGGGGGCCCCCATCTCGCTGTAGACAGATAGTATGCCCTAATGGGAAGAGGCTGAAAGTTCCCAGCATCCACTGTGGCCTTCACACAGTCTTCCGGAAGGTATTTTATTATGATGTCCCTCAGGGAACACTTGTGGTGTGAGGAAGATAGACCTGAACAGCAGGTTAACTATAGCTTGCTTTCTCTGTCTCTTTCTTCCTTTCACTTAAGAAATGGGTTGTTTTTTTTTTTTTTTTTTAATTTATTTATTATGTATCCAGTGTTCTGGCATGCCAGAAGAGGGATGGTTGTGAGCCACCATGTGGTTGCTGGGAATTGAACTCAGGACCTCTGGAAGATCAATCATGTCTCCAGCACTCCTCCCACTCCAAATGTTTTTTTAAATCCTTTGAGTTCTACCCAGGTTGTTTAACCTGAAGGAGAAGCTTGGCCCTGGTCACAGTAATGGGGGCTTACAAGATCCTTTTTAAATACCGGGAACATGTCTCCTTTGTTGTCTGCAGTACTAGACAGAACTGTAAAAACTGAAAACTGAAATTCCACCCTCCAGCACCACCCCCACTGAGCTTTTTATTTATTTATTTAGTTTATTCATTGAGTTCTGTCAGGAGCCAGTCCTCTGCTTCCAGCTCAAGACACTCAGGCTTAGTGGCAGTTGCCATGACTTGCAGAGTCATCTCCCTGGCCCAAGGCCTCTTAATAGCTTGTTTTACCTCCTTCTAGACTTCTCAGGTGAAATATATTTTTAACATTGGACCATTCATAAATTTTGACATTTAGTTGTCAAGAGTAAGATAACTAGATTTTTGTATTAAAAGAATATTCTTGAAATTGTAATTTTTGTGTTCTTTGTTTTCTAAGAGTCAGCATATATCTCTCTCTGAGTCAGATGGAACTGCTTCAGAAGGTGCTGAGTTACCTGCAGACTGGAGTATTAAAACCCGACTCCTTGTCACCTCTCATCAGCCCTTTTCCTGGGCAGACCATTTGAAGGCCCAGGAAGAAGCCCGAGGTCTCGTCCAGCATTGTAGGGCAGCAGAAGTTACTTTACCCCAGAGTGTACAGGTCAGTCTGAAATAGGGAAGGAGCACGTTCATGTGTATGTGTCTGTGTTCATGTGTGTTTGCGAACAGCCACTCGGGATATGGACAGAGGCCAAAGGTCCTGTGTCTGCTTCTCTCTCTGGAACGAAGCTTCTGTGAGTCTGGAGCTCCTGTTTTGTAGCTAGCATGGTGGCCAGCAAGTCCCCATGCTGCTCTTGTCTCTACCCACTCAGTACTGGGGCCACAGGCAATCACCGGTGAATCCCAACCTGTGTGTGGGTGCAGGAATCCAAATTTAGGCTCTTTTAACCACTGAGCCTCACACCAGCCCAGTAGTCTATGCTAGTGTTTCAAATTAAGTGTAGAAGGAGCTGTCCTGAAAATCCACACACTGCTTTCTGTTAAGCTGTTCTTCTGAGAGGTGTAGACTCAAAATTTGACAATTCATTTCTCCCAAAGGGTACTTTCACACTCATGTTTGTCAGGTAAGAATAGCTCATTTCATGTAGAGACTTCTGGAAGTCAGTCAGGAGTATAGACAGGCATTGTTTTCTCTGCACTATGCTTTTGTAGCTTCTAAGAAAACATGAAAAGCTACCTAGTTACTCTGGCTTTAGGGTGGCCAGCTGTTTTGTTTTTGGGTTTTTTTTTTTGTTGTTGTTGCTGTTGTTGTTCCCAAGACAAGGTGTAGACCAGGCTGACCTCAAACTCATAGACATCCCCTGTCTCTGCCTCCTGAGTGCTGGGACTAAAGGTGTTCGACCACCACACCCAGCCACACTCTGGCTCTTAATAAATTGAAGAATTAATGAGGTCTAGAATGGTCTCAGTAATTTAATTACCATGAAGCAGCTCATAACCGCAAACTAGGTTATAAAGGTTTGCTTGAAATAGGACTTGAGACATATTTCTCACAAACTCAAGATGATTTGTAGTTCGCCCTTCCCCGGGCTTACAGCTTTTGAGACTGTTTTCCTGGGGGAGGACCATCTCCCCTGGCATTTATTTGGCACTCTCCTATAGGAAGAATGTGAGTACTCCCTATACTCACACCCCTCCTCCCATCATCTGAATGCCTAGGGAAAGGCAGGGACAGGATTCTGGTGTGTGTGGGAGCTCTTTGTGATGCATGCTCCAAAGCACTGTCGTCCAGAAAGCAGAGGTAGACTGCACTCTAACCTCTGACCATTACTAATGCTTCCTAATAAAAAGCACTATGAACTCTTACTGTGCTGGAAAGATGGTTCAAAGGGAACATACTATTCTTCCAGAGAACGTGTGTTCAAACTGCAGTCACACATACAGTTAAAAATAAAGTCTTGTCGGGCCGTGGTGGCGCATGCCTTTAATCCCAGCACTCGGGAGGCAGAGGCAGGCAGATCTCCAAGTTTGAGGCCAGCCTGGTCTCCAGAGCAAGCTGCAGGACAGCCGGAGCTGTTACACAGAGAAACCCTGTCTGGAAAAATAAAAAATAAATGAATAAATAATTAGGGTGGAGGGGTGTTTGAGACAAGTGTTTGAGCTTTTGTGGGGTTCATATTTAGACCAGCCTGGCTTCACAGAGAGCTGCCTTCCTCCTGAGTGCTCAGATGCAAGATGGTCTGCCACTCCTCCCAACTAACCTTTTAAAATATTAAATTGTATGATATATCAGTGTCTCTAATGAAAGTTTATCTTTCTGATGAGTAAAACTACCCACTCTCCCCACCGGAATTTAGGATCCCAAACTCTCAACTGAGCTACGTTGTGCCTTCCAGCAGACCCTTGTCTACTGGCTTCACCCTGCCTTTTCATGGCTGCCACTATTCCCTCGAATTGGAGCTGATAGGAAAATGGCTGGAAAGACAAGTCCGTGGTCAACGGATGAAACTCTGCAACATACTCTCATGAGTGACTGGTAAGTCAGTGGAAGTGTGCATTCCAGCAGTAAAGTTCTGTAGCAGGGTTCTTGTCTGCTATGAACGGGTGTGTGTCTGTGTGCTCCTTATCAGAAACTGTTCATGTCCAGGATTTAATCTGTTTGCTTTTCTCCCCAACTTCATCACTCTCAAATGTCTTAGGACTGTACTGGATAAACGTATAGATAGGTCCACTCTTCAGTGCTGCTTTCTGTCACTTAATGCTTTTCTTCATTAGAAGTTGCTCAGAGTTTGCAGCCAGTTCCCAGTGCTTGAAAGAGCATGTGTTTTCCATGCACACAGTACTAAAGAGTCATCAGCATGGACTCTCAAAGCAAGTTTCACACAGCTGCGGAAACTCGATTCAGTATTAGAAAAATTTACATTGTGTTTTTATCTACTTGTCAGGCTAAATTATATGGAATTAAGTTTAAAATATTTTAACACCTGAAAAATCTCCCTTTGTTTCACAGGTCTGTGAGTTTTACTTCTTTGTATAATCTGTTGAAGACAAAGCTTTGCCCCTTTTTCTACGTTTGTACCTACCAGTTTACTGTCCTGTTCCGGGCAGCCGGGTTAGCCGGAAGTGAGGTGATCACAGCACTCATATCGCCTACAACTAGAGGTCTAAGAGAAGCTATGAAAAATGAAGGTAACGGTTTATGTTCACAGTTGAGGCTCCCTCTTGCCTCAAATGCTGAACTTTGGGGACTGGAGAGATGGCTGCTCTTCCAGAGGACCTGGGTTTGATTCCTGTCACCCACATGGTGGCTCACATCATCTTTAACAGCAGTTGCAGGGCATCCAGTGCCCTCTGCTGGCCAGTAGAGGCTCACAGACATCAGCACTTATATACATAAAATAGGACATTAAAAAAAAAAATCAAAAACCACTTTGCATTGTCTTTTACTAATTGGTTATCAAAATGATTTTAAGAGTTGTAGTCCATTTTTTTCAAGGTTTTTTTTTTTTTCTATCTCCCTGTTGGTAAAGCTGTTTCTAAAATGTAGCTGAACTTTGTTATGCCTCTTTTTCTGCTCTATGAAATAATGCACACAGTAGGTCCCAAAACTCACTTCTTATTGAATATACTTGGCCCTTTGAAATGGGTTTGTGTTTTTCTGTTTGTTTCTGTGAGCACACATGTAGAGTTAGAGGACAGCTTGTAAGAGTCATTTCTTTCTTCTACCATGTGAGTTCTAGGAAGTGAACACAGGTGTCCTAAGACTTGGCACACTCGACCTACTGACCCAGCTCACTGGCCCTAGATGCTCTGATACTTCAAATCCTCTAACCTCCCCTTTAATAATGTTAAGGCTGCATTAGCCCCATCAGTTAGTGGATGGGAAAGGGAAGGAAGGGTAGAGACATGCCCCTTCTGATAGAAAGCCTCATGCATGTACCCAAATGGTAGGACACTCGTGGTTAATTGAAGAAAGCAGAGTTATATATTCTTTTCTGGTGCAGGTATTGAATTCTCTCTGCCTTTGCTAGAAGAAAGTGGCCATAAGAGAAAAGTACGAGAAGCGACCCTGGAATGTGAGGAGTATGTGATTACGTAAACTTTTACATAGTCCCTAATGTATGAATTCCCTAATTCAAGCTCGGTGGAATGAGTTGTAAAAGCACTGGCTCTGTGAATATGTGCTTCTAACAAGCACTTTCCTAGGGAGCAAGCTGTCAGTGATGAAGATGAAGAGGAGAGCTTTTCTTGGCTGGAAGAGATAGGTGTGCAGGATCAAATTAAAAAGCCAGACATGAACTCTATCAAGCTGTATCCTTTCTGCTGTTATGAAGAACCTTGATTGAGTTGGTGGTTTAACCCTGATTTGAGTAAGGACAGTCCATGTTGGTTATGTACCAAGTTTTCGTTAGACAGTTTTGTTAGACTTGTGAAATGGGACAGGGAGCCCCAGGTATCTGGAAATCAAGGTAGCTATCTGCACTGCTGTGCATTTTTTGTTTGGTTGGTTTTATGTTTTGTTTTTGTTGTTGTTGGGCTTGTTAGTTTGGGGGTTTGTTTTTGTTTCTGTTTTGTTTTTGTTTTTGCTCTTTCCTTGATTATCATTTTCAGACTTAGAGAAAAACATGAAGGGCAAATGGATCATAGACCTGAATCTGTTGTCCTGGTGAAAGGACTCAACACCTTCACATTGCTCAATTTTTTGATGAACTGCAAGAGCTTAGTGGCCACCTCGGGAGCACAGGCAGGCCTCCCTCCCACTCTTTTATCCCCGGTGGCCTTCCGAGGTGCCTCCATGCAAATGCTGAAAGTGAGTAAGCCTTTACTTCACCTGCAGCCCAGTTCTTAGTTTAGTGCTTCATTCTTTAAAGGTACCGTCTTGACTTTAGTCCTTGGTTCTGTTTTTTTTTTTTTTTTGATATGTTTTATATAGACAGGCTCTTGGTGTAGCCTTGGCTGTCCTGGAACTGGCTACGTAGACCACTCTGGTCTCAAATTCAGATACCCACTTGACTCTGCCTCCTGAGTGCTGGAATTAAAAGCATGTGCCACCACGCCTAGCTCAGATTCTCAATTTTTAAATAATTTGGGGCTGGAGAGATGACTCATCGGTGAAGATGGCTAACTGACTCTTCTTCCAGAGGTCCTGAGTTCAAATCCCAGCAACCACACAGAGGATGGATCACAACCATCTCCATGGGATCTGATGCCCTCTCTTAGCTAACTCCTAGCATAAAGGTGTACGTGCAGATAGAGCACTCATACACCGAAAATAAATAAATCTTTTAAAAAATAATGTAGGGACCAGGGAGATGGCTCAGTGTTTAAGGTCACTTTCTGCAAGGCTAGAAAGATGGCTAAGTGGTTAGGAACATTAGCAGGTACTGGGTTGACTTCCCAGCAAGCAGCCATCTGTAATGAGATCTGGTGCCCTCTTCTGGCCTGCAGGGATACATGCAGACAGAACACTGTGTGTGTGATAAATCTTTTAAGAAAATAAACTGAAACGAGAAAAAAAAAAAAAAGAGAGAACTTGCTTCTCTTATAGAAGACCCAAGTTCAGTTTTCATCAGCAATATGACTGACCACCGCCAGTAAGTCCAGTCAAGGGTGTCTGCTGCCTCCTTACCCCCACAGATACCAGACGCCTTTAATCCCAGCACTTGGGAGGCAGAGGCAAGCCAATCTCAATGAGTTCTGGGATAGCCAAGGCCACATAGTGAAAACCCTGTCTCAAAACAAAAAAATGTGTAAAATTGTCTTTGCTTTTCAGCACAGAGATTGAACCAGGGTTTGAGGGCGTGTTGGCAAGTATTGTGTCCTGGAGCTGCATTCCCAGTACTTCTGTTCTTGCTTTCTCCATTAAAAATAAAAATTACTTAAGAGCTAGTGTGGCAGGATGATCAGGACTTCAAGGTCACCTGTGTTACATGAGACCCAGTATAAACGTAATGTATACATGAAATATGTGAATTTGGTCAAATTCCTTTTACTTATTGGACTCTATCACATGACTTTCAGAAAGGGTCCCACATAATCCAAACCAGCCTCAGACTCACTGTAGAGGAGGATGACCCTGAAATCTTGACCTTCCTACCATCACTTCCCAAGTGCTCAGTAAATTTTGTGATTTTTTTTTTTCCAACACTGCATGATGTATACTTGGTAACAAATGCTCACTTGTCATTTCAGGAAAAGTTATTTGATCCATTCCACTTTATGTATGTATATACCCAAAAGTTACAGATACCAGAAGTGGGGAAATGGAAACAATGTTAAGTGCTATGTTGTTGTCTTAGGAAACAAAAGTAGTTCCTGTTAACTAGCATAAGAAATCCCAAATAAAAATGCACTGAAGATATATTAATTGTCTTTTTCTTTAAATTTTCTGAAGGCACGGAGCATGAATGTAAAGACACACGCTCTTTCTGGATACAGAGATCAGTTTAGTTTGGAGATCACAGGTCCCATCATGCCTCATGCTCTGCATTCTGTGACCACGCTACTCCGCTCTTCACAGAGGGGATCTTTCTCAGCTGGGTTGTATGCCCATGAGCCAACTGCAGTGTTCAATGTCTGCCTGCCACTGGATAGAGACCTGCACAGAGTACGTAGACTGGGAGAAATGTCATTTATGATATACCAAATTTGTATCCAGTTAGAAAGCAAGTTATGAATTAAGGAATAGCCATGTGTACATCATAAACTTTATTAATTCAGGCAATACTAAAAACTTCCCAAACCTAAGTACTTACTGCTCTCACAACTGAAGTTTAGTAATGCTGGATTCCTTCTTTTATAGCTTATGGACGTGTATGTATTATGTTACGTGCAGTTGTGTGTGTGCTTGGGCACACCAGTGGGGAGTGTTCATACACACAGAAGCCTGGGGTTGTCGACTTATGCTACATTGTTCTCACCTTAGTCAGCAAGGCAGGGTCTTGTCATCAAAACCAGAAGACACTACCAAACATGGCTAGTCTTACTAGCAGGCTGCTATTATGGGCGTACCGCCATGTCCGCACAGCATTTGTGTGGCTTCTAGGTGCCCCAGCTCTGGTCATCACAATTGCAGCACGAGTGCTTGAAGACTGAACTATCTCCCAGCCCTACTTAACCGATTTCCTTTGAATTCTAAGCATCTTCATTTAGACTTTGTAAAGAAAACTAACAGCCTTTAATTGACCTGGTACCTGTCAGTTTTAACAGACTGGTAAAAAATATTTTTTCAAACTGCAGAGATTATTAGGATCAACTTCTAGCCATGATTAAGTAAATGAGCCATTTATTTTCCCTTCTTTACAGTGATTATTGGAACTAATGTGTTTATGGGTGTGGACTTGTATTTCTGCAGAAAGTTGCTCATAAGGACCTTGCTAACTGTGGGCTGCACCCCAAAACCCTGGAGCAGCTCAGTCAAATACCATTGCTGGGGAAGTCTTCCTTACGGAATGTCGAAATGAGTGACTACATTTTTAATTGGAGATCGTGAACACCAAAGTAAGCCTAAAGGGAAACTGAGGAAAAGCTTCCTAGCAAGGAAGGAAATTGACGATTTTTAAGCCTGTGGCTCTTAAAAGTTCATTTTGGAAGAATATGTTTTAAAATGCTGATGTGTTTTTAACATTAACTTTTATTACATGCTTTAGCATTAGGTTTAAAATCAACATTTTGCTTTTATTATTTTTATGCATTTTCAGATCTGAAGATGCAAGCTTAAACCTTAAGATTACTTGAATGAGAATTCTATATCCCTGCAACTTGATTAATTGTATCCTGAGTAGAAACCAAATTAAAAGTGTTTCATTACAAATGAGACATGAGATTACCTGTATGTAGCGCTTATTACATTGAGACTAATGGTCAGAAAAGCGGTTGGACCTTACTGCTGGTAGGTTCTTTAGAGAAGCAGGAAGTGCAGACACGGATCCCAGCGCCATCACTAATGCTCTCTCTAGTTCCTCTCGTCCAGTATACCCACTGTTTGTTCTTTTGTACCCAAGTGTTGGATGGTCAGTCGTGGGAACTTAGTACTTAGTATGCTTACAGGTAACCTGTGTGTTTGCATGTGTGTATAAATTACAGCATTTTTAAATAAACGTGCATAGAAGTCAATGGGTAATAAATAATAGTACTTAGTTATATGTGTTACATAAAGTCAGAGAATAAGACACCACATTTATTCCAGAGAAGATTGTATTTGGGCCTTGAGCTTTTGAAAATAAAGTTTAGAGACATAGCATATGAATACCACTGTAATACACATGAATATTCTATCAGACCCTAAAAATTAACATAAACTTAAACTTTCTCATAGTCAACAAAATAGTGGCTGGTTGCCAATTTTTATTAGATAAGTTGGTTACAGCATTTTTATTATTTATGTCTATCTAGGTGTAGCTGAAATTCAAAATGCACATCAAAGTAAAACTATATCACAACTCAAGCCATACTAAATATGTACTTGGCCTCTGAAGTAAAATGCTAGTTGGACTCCCATTGTGACTCCCTTCTTATGACCCAGGTGGCTTTAATGGGAATGCAGGACTTAGTGCTCATCATGACATAACGTATCACTTTTTCTCTTCATAACCTCTACAAAACTTAAGGGGAGATGGTGGCATTAGCCCTGTGGAACAGATCTTACTTCATTACCTTAATAACACTGGCCCAGTATCTGTCCAGCAGAACCCATTGTGAAATAGTACAAGGTGCACAGCCCTTCACTGATTACAGGCAAGTGTTACAGCAGCCTAGCCATAAGGAAGGGGAGTTACATCATAGTACAAAATACAGTATAAAAGCGTTATTTAACATTCCACACTGAATATTACTGATGCCTTCAAACAATTGTTTTGATGTTAGCCACTTAAACAAATACATCACTAAAGTAAACAATATAAACATACCAAAACCCTGTATGGTTAAATACAATTTCCATGGTACAAAAACCAAAGCCTGGAGATGTTTGTACAGATTGCTTTTTACACAATGTCTTAAATTGTGAAATATTTACAACATTAAGGAGGAAATACATTGTGATGCAGAGTAAAATTATCTGAAATGATTAATATAAAACCTCAATCTATCTACGTGAGGCACTCCTGAAGCAAGTGGCATTAGCCATGAGGTCCTTTGGTACAAGGCCCATTGCTTGAAGAACCACAGTAGCTGCTGTGGCTTTAGCATGCTTCTTATTAGGGCTGGCAAAGCTGGGCTGGTAAGCGCTTCCATTTATCAATACCTATTCAAGAAAAACATACAATTGGGCTGGTAAGGGCTTCCATTTCTCAATACCTATTCAAGAAAAACATACAATAAGAACAGCATCAAACTTTAATATCTATTAGTTTTGTACTTTTTCACTAAATAAACCCCAAATTATATACATTAATCTTAACCCCAACACAGTAAATGATTTAAAAAAGGAAACTGCAAAATAACTGCAGGTCTCCATATTTAAAAATAAAAAGCACTACTAAATGTACTAATTACTCCCACATTCCCCAAGAAAATACCCAATGTTAACCAGATTTTGCCCATGCCCTCCCCTTTAATAATTTAAAGTCCCCTTCTAAGTTAAAAAACCCACACTGCCCACACATATGCACAGCTATAACCCACCCAAAGAATATTAACAGTGTGCTTTTGCACCACACCTATCCCTAACCCTCTGACCCTGATGTATAATTAGTGTGTAATATTTACCCTAAAGAGAAAATGTTTGCGATGATCAGGGCCACTATCATGGACCAAGAGAAATTCAGGTGGTTGCCACCTTCTTTTATTACAGATTTCCATCAAGGCAGACACAGGATGTTTGCCTGTAGAAAGAAAAACAACTAGTTATAAAAGATTTCCAACAACTTTTCAACAACTTTAGATTTCAAGGTATGGATGGGTAAGGCAAGAAGAATTCAACAGGGTTTTGTTCTCACCTGACAAGTCTTTCATTGCAGCAGAGAAGTTCCCAGACCTCTTTTGTGCTCTCTCTCCTACTGCAACAAGACCTTTAAACAGAAAGCCAAATTTACAACATTATTTTTTTAATTATGAGATGGGAAAAAAAAAAATCTCTCCCTAAACTCCATGCCTTCCAATAAAATATTTAGTGCATTTATATTAGATACTGAATTTTTACTTTATACTCTTATACCTATGAAAACATATGTAAGGGGTTAGGGAACAGCTCAGTCACAAAGCACCACCATAATGGCTTGACCCTGAATCCTTCCAGAACCTGGAGGGTTCTTTGTGGAGACAGACAGGTGGGTCCCTAGGGCTTTCTGGCCACCCAGCATATCATTGGATGGGGTCCAGGCCAGTGAAACCCTGTTTCAAAAATCAAGGTGAATGGCACCTGAGAAGTAGCACAAGCTATTTATTGATCTCTAACCTCCATGTAAGCGTGTACAAGCACAATGTGTGAGTACTTAGAGAGAAAGAAGGGTCATGTAACTGTCAGCATCTTACCATCCTTTTGGTGGCTACTAACTGCAAGTAACTTAAAAGGAAGTGTCCCCAACATGAGCTCCTTTACCACAGCAACTACTTACTTTCTTGACCAATGCAAACCCCCTATGTAAGCTTACTACACTGTAATTAGCAATATTATAAACCCCCAAACACTGCTATTCCCACTATCCACGCGTCTTTGCTCAAGTTTTCAGCCATTCCATGGCTAGGTACATACTTGTATATGCATCTCCTTCAAACCTGTTTTAGGAAATGCCTGCTGACTGAAAATGCACACATTGTGCTGCATGATTTTAATGTGGATGCTCCATAGAACTATACAATACTAGCTGCATTCACAGACAGTGAAATTTAACTCCCAACTTATCACTGAACTTCAAACTAAATCCAGTTTTCTGAGCTTCAGGCCTAACTTTACTGGTAGCACATGTCTGTAATGGCAAGAATTTGGTAAGTCTAAGGCAATAGGATTTGGGGGCCAAGGCTAACCTGGGCTATATGATAGATTGCTTTTTTGGTTTTCTTTTGTTTCTGAGACAGAGAATGTGGCTTTAGCTGTCCTAGAACTCACTATGTAGACCAGGCTGGCCTCAAACTCACAGAAATATGTCTGCCTCTCCCTCCAGAGTGTTGACAAGGTTTCTTTGTGTAGCCATGGCTGCCCTAGATCTTGCTCTGTAAAGCAGGTTGTCCTCTGCTGGGATCAAAGGCATGTACCACCATGCTTAGCCCCTACTTTAAACAACAATGAGCTGCCAACCTGCTGTGATTCTACTTTGACTGTTACTAGCTAGCTGTTTCTATGTGCATATTTCCAAAACAGCTAACAGCAATAGGAGGAGTTCCAAGGTGCCCAAACAAGAGGTAATGAAGAGCTAATTAATACTGCTGACCTCGGCTGATCTATGCTTTAACCCACAACACAAACAGTAAGCTTTAGAAAGAAAGACAAAGACAGTCTTTGGAATGGAAATTAAGAAACTACGTGAAGTGTCTAAGAAAGATTGGGGGTTGGGGATCACACCTTAGAAATAAAGACAAACAAATGAACCAAGGGCAGTAATGGCACAGGCCTGTAATTCCACCTCTTATGAGATAAGGCTAAGCCAAGACCCAGCAAGACCTTGTCTCCCAAGACAACTAAACAAGCTGGAGACATGGCTCAACAGTTAGAAGCACTGGTCCTCTCCATGGGACTCTTGACTCCATGCATTCCCAGAACTCATGACCATCTGTAACTTTAGTCCCAGGATCCAAAGCCCTCTTGTGGACTTTATGGACCCTGTGCTGCAAAAACACACATGCAGACAAAATACTCATATGGACTAGGAAGTTGTCATGCCTGCACCCACATATAATAAATAAATGTACAAAAACAGGCAAGCATATATGGTGGTCTCCATTAAGAGCAAAAAATTTCTTTTGAGGGAAGGGGGAGTTCAAGACAAGAGTTTCTCTGTGTAGCCCTGTAACTTGCTCTGTAGAGCAGTCTGGCCTGGAACTCAAGATATCTACCTGCCTCTGCCTGAGTGCTGGGATTAAAGGTGTGTGCCACCACCGCCCGGCTTATTTCCTTAAATTTAAATATTCAAAACTAACACAATAAAAGCTGTCATATCCGAAAGAACTTACCTTTCCGGTCTGTTTTAAAGTCAACAAGGATGGGCTCCTTATTCCCTTCTTTGTTCTTCCCTAACCCTTCTCCTTCTCTCCAGCCCATTTTCCTCATCAGGACAGCACCCATCCCTCCAGTGACTGGGGCTGCTCGTAAGAACTGATCCTGTTCAAAGAAAAGAGGGAAGCCCACTGTACAGTTAGAACTGAACGACCAAGTCAATGGAACTTAAGAAAAAGGAATCTTACTTCTAGGTCTGAAGTAGCATTAAATTTAAATTCTTCTATACTCAATACATTCTGTAGTGTATGTTCTAATGATAATCATTACCAACACTTTGAAAATCAAATGGCAATTTCAACAGTTGCCCCTCAGTGCCCCCCTCCAAAACAACAACAACAACAACAGAAAGAGCACTCCTGTTTTCGTCCACTATTTAGGTTCACTGGTATCTCTTCTTAGCTTGCAAAATAAAAAGAAGGCAATGTTAAAACAGTCAATATTATTATCTCAGGTATACCTAGTTTATGAATAAATAAAGCTTGGAAATTATTTTAAAATAGTTTGAACACTGAAGAAGCATACAATTGTCTGTCATCCAGTTTTCTTCCCCATTCTACTATAAATTTTTACTTAGATAATCCCTAAGAGACAGAATAAATTTACATGTAGTAAGTGAGTATACCGAATTTGAATTCTTGTAAGCCTGGTTGATGTTGAAAGACTTAAAAG